TACAGGATAAGAGACTTGTAGTGTCTCTTATCTCTTATTTTTGATTTTTGAACATGGCCGGAGCCACTACCGCGTCTCCTGATTCTAAAGCTGTCTCAGAAATGTTGCAAACATATTTCGTAATTTTTATGAAATATTTCACTCTTCAGTTGAAATATTTTTGAGATATCTCTGAACATTTTTTTTCGGTGCTATATGGATAATATATGTAGACAAATGTGACTTCGTTCCTAAAATTATTATTTGTGCGCAAAGTGCTTGTAGGCAATAATACATGTAGACAATAATACATGTAGGTAATAATACATGTAGGCAATAACACATGTAGGCAATAATACATGTAGGTAAATGTGACTTTGTTTCTGAAATTTTTACTTATGCGCAAAAGTGCATGTAGGGAATTAAGCTGTACACAATAATCTTTATGTGCAAACGAACTGTCGGCAAGTGATGTAGGCAAACGATGTTGTAGGCAATCGATTTGTAGGCAAAACGGGATCCTCTCTTAAAAAACGATAATGCTTATATGACAAAATGGCATTCAATTATTTCAATTGTAAAGAAGCACGTAATATATTAGTAAAAAGTTGTGCTTTACAAGTTAGATTTTGTTACCTTTTATAGTTATTATTCATAGTCATCAATCCAACTGAACTGCGTAGTTGCACTTATATTTTAATAGAAAACTGATTATACACGTTAAAAGTACACACACTATTATTTCTATACAAGTGAGCACAGTACCGCTAAAAAATTTTAATAAATATTGCTTTTTGCAAAAAAAGAATATAATTGTTTGCCGAATGCATTTATCTATTAAATGTTCATTCTTTTTATATTTGAACTATAAAAGTGTTAACTATATTTTAATTAAATTTCTATGCAAAGAAACAAAGGAAAAATAATGAAATTTAGAACTTGGAACACGGTGAGCAAATATTTAATGAGTGTTGAAAATTGTGAGCAGGTTATGTATTTTATGATAACGCTTTTTAAACTGTGACAGGTATTATCTTCAAAGATACCAGAAAGTTTGTGAGTTTTTATCCATTTCTAATGCTATGTATTTTTTTCTATTCTGCAGTACTGGTAGTGTACGAAAGAGTGGAAGAAGCAATCATAAAAACAATTGAATGTGCTAGAGATCAAATTAATTAGCATATTTAATCTATGTTTAGCCTAATTAACGTGTTAGTTTATGTAGTACAAATTCTAAAAATTGAAATATTAGATTTTTTAAATTTACAAAAAACATTGATTTCAGTTAATAAATAATATAAACTGAGAAAACAATTTTTTTGTTTATTGTATTAATTCAAATTTTGCTATTTACTGAAACTTTTGAGCAGTACCGTATGCAATATTGTAAAATATTTTTAAATCTCTTTATACATATATTGCATGCCGCTTGTCACTAAAGATAAAATTTGAATCAAAATATTTATGACTATATGTCTTATATACTTATCACACTTCTCAGATCTCATTAAAAACAATTTTTATCAATATTTCAGGATATTCACGAATTTCTGGACAATGCTCAAGATGGTGCCATTTATTTCTCTCTGGGCTCAAATCTGCAAACTGACCAACTACCTGCTGGACCTTTGACAGCATTGTGCAACGCCCTAGGCTCGCTTAAGCAAAGAGTTCTATGGAAACATAATAGTAACATGGCTATTCATGCGACCAACATTAAATTTGTAAAGTGGGTGCCACAACAAGCAGTACTAGGTAAGGTTGCCCAAGGCTAAACTAACCGACCCTTTAACCTCATTCTTTTCGAAAGAAGCGGATCAACTGTCGCGAGATATGCATTTACAAAACGGTTTGATGAGAAGCATTCTATATTGAAATTTCTTCGTGCTTGAAGATAGGGAATCGATAAAATTATAAAAAGGATAGATCATGCAAGAAAAGATAGATAGATAGATAGATAGA